GATTGACTTAAAAACAGCTGAAATTTTGCGGATATCGGTGATTGTTGTTTTACATTCATCGAATTCAAAAGACTTTGTTAATCAGAAAACATCCATTGATTTGTTGCAAAATTCTTTATCAGTGGTTTTCAATCTTCCTCCAGCGAATCGTGCAAGTTGGGCTGAGTGTAGTCAAATAGTTCATTTTCCTTCCTTATCTAGTTGTTTGCAGTATCCGCTTTGAATACTGTTTAGAAAGCCAGTAGCAGTAATAATTGTCTAACTTTAAGTGTGCACATCGAGTTGATATGAATAACGTGGTTATCAACATATTACGTGAACAGTAATGAATGGTTTATATTCTGTGAGCAACATCACATCGAAATTTCAGTCAAGAAAATTACTTGCGAACGTAGCATTCAGCATTCGAATTTTTTCAGCATGATAGTGAACGGTAAACGTTATTTATACACTTATAAAACCCGGAATCGCCCACTAGAATCCAAGTTCGTCCATCTGCTAATTCTCCCACCAAATTCATGGTTTCGTTTACTAGTGGGCAATAGCGCCCAAGCTAAGAACATTGATCCATACTGAATGAGCAGTGGGAGGCGTAGTACCCAGAAACTGTTTAATGATACTGAATTTTATATTTGACATTTTTCCCGTGCCACGTATATTTCATCGTGTCATCTTAACGTTTCGTTCCAAAAAAATTTTGTTATTCTATGTTCTCCAGGCCACTTCTTATCAGTGGGTTGTTCCCTTTCCCCAATGATAAGAATTCTCGAAAAATGTGCAAAAATGAATACTTACACATTGTTTTCATGCGGTGGTGAGAAAAATGCTGACTGTTTATAATCATATTTTACATCCACAATTTTGAGTTCACCATTCGAGGCATTAAGACATTCAAACCCACCTATAACTTTACGAACTCTTGGTCCTATTAAGATGAGCATGCTCTGAGATTTCAGTAGAATGCAAATCTACACGACGGAAAACTACTTATCAAAGTAATAATCCTTCATTCACCTAGTAGCAATCTCATAACTTCTTGGTAATGCTCAAATGCACAGATCCATATGCATGATCCACGATAGAAAAGCTCGAGGCCATTCGTAGACCATCATAATATGGAATGATTCACATGCAAAGCATCAATTTAGAATGGCTCGCATGGATCTTACCGGTAACCACAAAACGTAAACAATTAGCATAGGTTCTCAGCCATTCGAAAATAATGTAAGCACATATTTAATCGCAATGCAAAGTTTCTCTGTTTGGCGATAGTCTCTCATTCATGTGCAAGATTGCGACTCAGTGACGCAGATCAATTCTTTTTCAACACGCGTTAAGGTTTATATCAGTCATATGCATGTTACGACTCATAAACTATCTGCTTTCGGGTCAATTAACAACGAAGGTTAAGTGAAGTGTGCATGTAGCTTTCATTAAATATCGCGGCCGCAATCAAGTTCCACCAATGCTATTCTCTTGTGCACCTCCCCACATCCCATCGAGATCCTTAACTGCATCGACTGTGCACTTTTCTACCGCGTAGCACTATGCAGTTTGTTGGAAAATATGTCTGGCTTCCAAGATAAAGCAATAGGAACGCAGTCTGTGGGCGAATAGATAACTGTTTTTATTTTCAGAATCCCGTTTTTTGCCAGCTTGAGTCATTATTAGATAGCACTTCGATTGCAGCCGAGCAATGTCGCATCCAGAGGCATACTCTCGATCAAAAATTGCGATAAGATTACTGTGTGGGATACGAATGCCTCTTTATCACTTGCATACAGGCGGTGCGTTTCGTTCGTTTTTTCTGCTCTCTAAGAACGAATAATTTCAATTCTATTTCAGTTTCGAATTTCAATAAGTTCGCGAATCGACAATAAAACTTTCAGTCTTCTACTTTTAGTTTATTGCATTAGCATTATCGCTGAGTTCGCATTCCGCTTAGCAATGAAACGAGTGAACGAAACAATATTATTATCGCTTGTTTGCAGCATAATGAAGCCTATAATAGTAACGAGTAAATTGAATTGTTCATTAAAATACAACGTATAAACCTTTTATGGCATCATTCGATTAGTTCGTTGCTTATGGACGCATAAGGCAATGAATAATATTTCACTTCATCCAGCTTTCACTTGTTGTCGCCGTTTACTTATCGATTTCCGTGATTTCACCTTCCACAATTAACAATTCATGAACCTTTCATTCCTTATCGTTTTAGGATCCATCCCACTTCAGTTTGCAGCTCCTCAACAAAACAGTCATTTCTCATCGTTTTTATCCGAAACCTGCTGAAAACTTATCGAACTCTCTAGTTCTTATTAAATTCCATAAAGGTAATGAAAGGAAACTCGTGTGAGCGATTTTCTATGAATGGATAAGGCATCAGCCCAGTGGCCAGTTGTGGGAACTACCGCATCTTTCACAAGTCAGAATAGCATTACAGTAACAATACTCTCAAAGTTATCAATTATTGAAATAAGTTTTTTTTTGCGTTCTGTCGTTTAAGTGACGAACGCGCGAAAAACCCTGAAAAGACTGTTTTTAAGCCTTTTAATGCTTCAGCGAAAAAAATAGTAGTACTTAAAATAAATCGTTGATTGCGTTAACATGGAGACCGTTGAAGTGAGAAAGAAGACATCTGATCATATATTCTTCTTTCACTCCACTCTTGCACGAAATTTCATGAAAATACAACTGAAATCAAACCTACCTGTGAAGCAACAATCCGTGATATTGTCATGTTGTTGAATGATTGGAAACAAACGAGTATTGTTATGCTTATAGTGAAGAACTTTTGCGCTTTCATAGATGGAAATTATCTGAAACATTTGAGATGTTTCCGTTTCTTTTCCAGCCGTGATCGGATGTTGAGATAGAACTGACAAGTTTCCTGAGTCAGTGATGCCGTAATGGTATAACGATCAGCATTTTTGTCACATTTTAGTTATTCAAGTGGTGGTGAACATGACAAATGGATAGCAATTGGTTTTGAAGATTGCTTTTTTAAATTCTAACTTCATCATCAAGCTATTTTAGGATTGATCATGACTGGAATGTCAACTTATAAGATGGTGATAATTTCAAAAGTGTTCCATTTCAATCCTTTTTAAATGATTCCACTGAGAGTTGAATGTCGCTATAGATAAACAATCCCAGATCAGTTCTTTATGATTAAGCACCAGTACGATCGTACAATCCTTGGAGAATAAACGTTGCACGGGTTTGTTTCGTTTGTAGCATCAAGGCTGCTGCCCTCGATGTGCCTCACTGTTCCTCGTAAAATTTCTTATCATATCCGCGATAGCATATTAAAGCATATGTTCACTTAAAATATTCATATA